TCAGTAATATTTAAACTTACTATATTTAACTAAACAGAAACTAGGTACAATAATGAAAAATGTTGTATTGCTACTCCTGCAGAGATCAACGGTCTTATCTGAGTTTATCCAGCGGTTATAATATTTACCTTATAAAATATTTTTTTCCGAGGGACGTGACCAGATTTACTTGGTAAGTGAGAGGGTTCAAAAGTGAAGTTCAGGAGATGAAGAAGAACTTACCGCACTCCCAAGGTTTGTTTAGAGGCCCAGAAAAGATCTTGACCAAAGGAGTCACAAAACTCTAGACATGTTTGTTTTGTACCTGTTTCCTGGAATTTCATCAAAACGTTCACAAGTCTCACAGAGGTGGACCGAGGTCTGCTGGCCACACGGATGTACTCACGTGGAGTAGCTGCTAGAGACGATCTGAAGCCTAGCCCAGGTACAGACGTGAGATAAGCCACTCCCGTCTCAGCTTGTCCTACACGGTTCTAATGGGTCTATCTCTCCTTCCCATGCTTTTGTGCTTTCTTAGAAAAAAAATACCAATTAAGATTTCCAGATCTGAGTTAACATTACTGCTTCTAAGCACAAGGAATCACCTGAATATGATCATAAGCGCATTCACCAGAATTAGAATTCAGAACAAGGAAAGAGCACAGCTAACAGGCTAGAATTTCCTCAAGAAACCAGTTCCTTAACCAAGTCCTTAATGCACAAAATTACCCTTCTCTTTTCTTATTCCTGGGAGGACCCATGCTGGGCGCTTGGTTAAATTGTTGAAATCCTGAGTACATGATTAAGAGCAAACATGTTTACTCAGTAGACTTTTCTAGAGCATCGGATGGAGTGTGGGATTAACACTGGCCAGATGACAAGAAATGATACCAGATGCGACTCAAAGGCTTCCAAAGAAAAAAGAAGGAAGAAACCGGAGGAGACACTCAAGGAAGAGGAGCAGCGGCATTGGCAGGAGAGTCACTCCCTGTAGAGTTGGCATGGTTCAGGACAGAAAAGGAAACTATATCAAAGGGAGGCTAGAATCTGAGCAGAAGTTTGAAGGGCAGCAAAGAACAAATGGTAGGAGGCAAGAGGATTAAATTCATTAAGAGAAAAGCTCTGAGTGCTAAGCTGAAGAGCTCACTGTGAGTCAGGGACTGAACTGGGAGGGGAGTTTCAGAGTTGGTCAACGGCTTAAGGGATATGGCGGCCTCTGGCTAACACAGCAGCTGAGCAGAAGAGGGCTCAGTGGTAGGATGTCCACTTTTTTCTTGTCTTAGATGTCTTCTGAGTATTGGATTAAGACATCCCAGGTTCCCAGGTTAGGATGCAGGGGCCTCCAACCCCAGAACCAGTTCCTAAAAGCCTGCTTAGTAGCCCAGCTCATCTAGAATGCATGGTCTTTGGTACAAGACTGGTGGCAAAGGACTCAGATAGGCATGGTTTACAATGGTCCTGTAGCTATCGATTCTCTCAACTTCATACCCAGTACAGCACTTTTTGTAAAGCAAACTACCTGTTGGTGGAAGAACTCCACAACATAAAAACTTGGGAACTAACCAAGTTGAGAGTGTAGAAACACTGCTGATGGAAAAGTGCCCAAGGTACATCGTGATTGGCATGTATGAAGAGTCTTGAGCATCACCATAGCTGTGCTTTGAGTATCCCTATGTCCATTTGCCTATACCATCACCACTTCAGCTCTCTAATGTATTTGTTTGTCTGCTTTGCAGTGCGAGGGATTGAACACGGACCCCATACCAATCAACATCGACAGCTTCCAATTTTCTTCTACTTTAGCATAAGCTAATACATTTCTAAAGTACGGGCTCCAGGGACATCACTGACATAAGACTGACACACAAAGGCCACTGTGGTGGGAGTTAGCCCTGGGAAGCCTGAATCCCCTGTCTAAATGCCTTTCTAAACACCCTTCAAAACGCGGGGGTCACGCGTGGAACTGAAGCCTGTTTGTTTGTCTGTTTGTTGTTTTGTCACTAATGAAACCAGCTGCTCTTCCAGAACTCTCCAGCGACTCTAGAAGACAGCTCGCCTTAGAAGCAGTAGAGTCCTCATGCCGTTCAGGCACAGCAAGGCTTTGTGTGGATGACTTTTTCTTTGACATGTGACATTTCAATCCTTGAGCATAGAATGTCTCTGAGTTTTGTGTTATCTCTTTAATGCAAACTATTTATTTAATTATCTCTTCTGCAGAAATGATTCGTGTTAACGTGTCCTGCCAACCAGTGTGTTCTCTCAGTTCAACAACTGTGCGTGACTGAAGCTGCTTCTCAAGTGGACAGAGACCTTGCCTTTTCCTAACCCTTGTTGATGTGGGAGGTCCTTCTGTCTGTGTGTTGCTTTTCTTGTTCAATGAATAAAGAAATTGCCTTGGCCTGTTGATAGGACAGAACTTAGGTATGTGGCAAAGACAGAACTGAATGCTGGAAAAAGGAAGGCAGAGAGGGAGACACCATGGATCCACCACCAGAGATAGACATGCTGGAACTTTGCTGGTAGGCCATGATACCAGCATGGTATCACTCGTGGTGATACACAGATTAATAGAAAAGGGCTAAATTAATATGTAAGTGTTAGCCAATAAGAAGTTAGAGCTAATGGGTCAAGCAGTGGTTTAATTAATACAATTTCAGTGGGATTATTTCGGTTCTGGGTGGCCAACAAACAAGCAGGCCCTCCTCCTACACCTTGTGAGACAGTTTGTTTCTAGGTGATAAAGTGCTTTTGAACCAGATTACTGATTGGAATTGCATTAATTCATGAGACCAGTGGACAGGGAAACATTGGGATCATATTTAGCTTTTAAAATATCTTTAAGACGATGAGGGTTATGCAATTTCTCCATGTATGGTTCAATCAGTATCATTCAAAAGTACAAGTTCGTTAGGAGTGAGAGGCTTTAGAGCTGATATCAAGCCCAATGTAAAACTCAAGTCAGGCCGTAAGGAAGACAGCGCCACATTGTGATGTCCTCACTAGTCAATGCACAGCTTGAAGACTGTGACATGCATGCTTCCTTTTCTCAACAAATAAAAACATAGGTGATGGGGGAGAGTCTTCTGTTTTGTGTTGATTTCATTGGTTAAATAAGGAGACTGCCTTGGCCCTTTAATAGGAGAGAAAATTAGGTAGGCGGAGTAGACAGACAGAATGCTGGGAGAAAGAAGCCGAGTCAGGCAGTCGCCATGATTCTTCCACCCGACACAGACGCAGGTTAAGATCTTCCTGGTAAGCCACACCTCATGGGGCTACACAGATTATTAGAAATGGGTTAAGAGGCTGAAACTAATGGGCCAAGCAGTTTTCCGTGTAATTATTTTGGGTAAAGCTAGCTGGGTGGCGGGACGCAGCCATGCCACTCATCACTACACACAGGTGCTCAAAAGATCAGTGCCAGTCCAGAGCCAGGCTAAGGGCTGCTCAGTGTATACCTTTCCCTGGTCTTCTGAGAGAAAATTGCAAGAGGTTCTTATATAAGCGTGGTCCATTCACAAAGGGAACTTTGTAGACAAAGGCAGGCATGGGCAGGATCTCTTTGCTGTGGGAATACTATTGGCATACCAGTGTACTTTGAGCAGACTTTTTTGCACATACAGCTTGAAGCACAGGATAGGTAAGTTTCAATTTTATAAATAACAAATTACCAATTTTCTTCAATGCACAATAGCAATTTTCTTGATTGTGCACTGCACACAATCCCTTAACGCTACCAGAGATCCTGATCTTGCTCACTCTCCACCCAAAGCAAGCACATAAGTGTGTCTTACACATCTGCTGGCTATGGATAAGCAACACCATATGCAGACGGACCTGATTTCTTAAGAATTCAAGCTTCTGTCTGCTAACACATTGACTCATGGAAACCAGGTTGGAGAGAGAAGATACAGGTCAAAATGTTGAGCCATTGTATAGGTGCTCAATGACAAATGTTCCCGTCTCAGGCAGGGAGCAAGCCCAGGAGGGAAGGGCTGGGGATGCTGTGAGTAGAAGTGGTTCCACTGGGGGCACACATTCTTGTCAAGGGAAGAATAAACCATGAGTAGGAATGGAAGGGAACATGGGAGTTGTGCAGCAACTACCTAACCCAGCCAGGGTAGCTGCGGCAGTAGAACAGGGCAGAGGGCATCCCAGAGAAAAGCAGCAGGAAGGTGAGATGAACTACACCCAGTTAGCAGAGGAGAAACAGATGCCTGTGGTTCGGGAGCAATCACTCACAGGCACCAGGCAGACAGCAAGTGGCCCGCTTCTTTAAGGCCATCACAGCCTGAGATGGATTCATAGCTGTTGATTTTTGTTCAAATATGAGAACAGTTCTCTTTCTCTTAGCGTTTTCAACCTTGTTTGTGGACATGGCTATTCTCTATAGTTTACAAAATACCGCCATTTATCATCTCTATTGTGCAGAGCAAGCAACCAAGATGCAATGGAGATGCCACCAAAGCCATAAAACACACATGACAATAACTTCATTAAACCTCAGCAAGCCAAGACAAAAGAGAGAAGTCACCTTCTCTGGCTACGGATAGCTGGAGGAAAATGTCAGTGAATCATGTCAGGCCATAGTAAACTTAACCAACAGACATTTGGAGAAGACCACATATAAAGGGTGGAGTTGGCAGCAGGGACCTCTGTTGTCCTGGATCACCAAAACTGAACTGTGCCCAGAATGAGGAGAAGGTGACCAGCTCCTGGGAGAACATCTCCTATCACCCCGTTCTTTTCTCCAAGGTCATCAACAGCCTCTTCTCTAACTTCCAACGTCACACAGGGACCAGGGACTTACTCACCCACCGTCATAAGTTCTGCAGCACACCCTGGGGAGCGTCCCGCTGTCAGGTGGTCCTTTCTTCTTTTCACACATACCAGTACTTTTTATATTCAAGCTAAAGGAGTTCGTCGGAGGGTTAATTCCTGACAATACATGCAAGCCAGCGAGCAGACCACACTGTCAGTGCAGCCAGCACCCTAAAGGGACCAAGAGGGGACACAGGAGTCACCTGTGGCGAAGACAACATTCCTGGAGACCAGACGGTGCTCCACGATAGAGAACTGGGGGAGCTCGATCCTTTCCACGCCCGTGACAGCCTTGTCCCCGCCGCGCCAATAAAACTCAATGTCATCCGTTGTGTAGCCATCTACCAAAAGAGAGAAGCAGGGACACGGTGGATAGGAGACACTGTCACGTGACAGCAACGAATAGCCTAAGAAATTATCTTTGCTAAAAGGAAATAATGACTCTGTTAGATTTAAAAATATTTAACGTGCATCTCCATGAGAAACGTGAATAAATTAGCTTCAGGGTATTCGTGTGCTACCTCGGCAGTCTACTTTGTACCAGGATGGGTCCTAAAAGGCAGGTAACTGGGGTTCTGGGAGATGAGAGCTTGGGACCAGAGTTCTGAGTGCAAAGCGTGAAATCATAGACACCCGGACAAAATCCAGTTGAGGATTTAAGCACATCTTTACAGTGAAGAACAAGATGGTGGGGGAAGGCAGGTACCAAGATTCAGGGGTGGTTACAGAGACTAAGGGCCCGCTCTCCCAATCATGGCCTGGTGACAAGAGCTCTTTCATGGTGGCTGCCCACTTCAGAAATTCGGTTTGCTGGGAGACTCCTGGTCGAGTTACGCTGGCACAGGTACCCTCATGATGACAATGAGGACTGTATCTCTCACCCGACTCTGGGGACGCTGCTCACGTTCATGTGAAATGCAGGCGGCATTCCCCAAGATGAGCGAGTCAATGGGAAACAAAGCGTAGTCTTAGCTAATCTCCCGGGAGTCTCCCAGGAGATCACAGCCAACTATGCATTTATTTATTTCTGTCTCTCTCGGTGTATTCTTTATTTTTGTTGTTTCTTTTATTTTCCCCTCTCTTTCTTCATCTTGCTCCTTCCCTTCTTATTCCCTCCATCCTCCCCTTTCTATGCTCTGTTACCGCTTCTCCCCCTTCCCTTATTTCCATCCTCCCTGTTTTCCCCTGGAGTCAGGTCTCATGACCCAGTGTTAGAATGTCCCATGCCATCCGCTTCGAGCTGGAATTACAGGCCATCACATTCACTTCGGATTTTCAATTAGATCAATAAAACACAGGTCTGACGGAAGATGCTGCAATGTAACAAAAGTTGGAACATGGAACATATATGTAAGTTCCTGGGGTCCTTGTGAGAAGTTTGGCTTCTTTTGCCCATTGCATAGAAAAGAGCTGAGCGCTTTAGGGAGAGGAGTGGTGTAATCAGGTGTTTTATTAGGGAAGGGATTGTTAAGTCTTAAAGCCAGGAGGAAGGTACTTAGCAGTAGGTGTCACACTGTGGTCTACACAGAGGGACAACAGAGTGTTCTCAGTTGTGAGGACCACTGCAGGAGCCGTCAATGCTGAGGTACTGGACTATGAGAGCATCAGCTAGATTAGTTTTATGTATGTTCCTCCAGTGTTTCTTTTCTATCTCTGTTGCTCCAACCTAACTTTTAACCCTTCTGTCCCTACTCTGGAACGTATGAACCTGCTGCACCTAAGATGGCAGCAGAAGTCACTCCAAGAAGGTGGCTCCCGGCAGGAGCTAAAGCTGCTTCCTACATCCTACACAAAAGCTCACGGTCACTTTCTAAAATCCCCACCTTCTCAGCTGAGACTCTGGCCTCTCACGGCACAGAAGCTATCTGACTAGGATAATCCTAGGAGCTGTAGGGATTTACCATCTCTCCTCTGAGGCTCCTAAGCTCCATGGCCAATGTTCTTGGGGCTTCCATTCTGCATTACTGGATGTGATTTTATATTCCTAATCCTCAAATCCACAGCTGTCAGGAAGCATGGACCCTGGTGCCCTCTAGCAGTAAAGGGAAAAAGATGGCCAACTTCAGCCTCCCACTGTGCACTCCCTCAACATGCTGAAGCATCACATACCCTCCCCCACCACAAATACTCTTCCATGACACCACCAGGGCAACTTCACTTAAGCAACCAAACCTCTGCAGAACACCTGTTGAGACTCCTAATAAACCAATCGGTGAAAGCCTCAACACAAACGCTTGTTGAGACTAGTAGTAAGTCAGTGTGTGACAGGTCAGGACCCATAGGTGGTACCCTTCAGGTGGCATGAGGCACACCTCATTAGATGTCAGTAATCCAGCTTCCACTCGCCCATAGAGGCACACAGCACCGAATTATCAACAAGGCATCCGCACACCCCTCAAATTGAAGAAAATTGCCAAGGTGCAGAAATGGCCAGCTTGTAAGACTGTGATTCTGGCGGGAAATGAGTTTCCCTCCGACTGCCCAGGGTCCCAGCAGCCCAGCCACTCAAGCGTGATGAAGCAGATTGTAGGAAAATTACATCTCGGTGTTCGCTGTCTTCCCGCTGAACGGATTGAGACGGGGAACATTTGTTTTCTCCCATTTCAGCACAGAAAACAGACTACTTAATCAGATTAGATTGAAGGACAATTTTATACTGAGTCTCTCTCTCTCTCTCTCTCTCTCTCACACACACACACACACACACACACACACACACACACACATGCATGTGCACACCCCTGTCTTTCAATTCTTCTGCTTGTCTCTTTCTCTCTTTGTGTTGACAGCAAAATGGCAAGAGTTAATTCTCTAATACAAAGTTTTGTTGTGTGTGTTGGGAATGATACCCAGGGCCCATTGAGGTGCCCCTCTCCAAGCCTAATCTTAAGATAGTGATGAGTTGAGCACGGGGGATGCTTTAGCAGAGATGCTAACTTACAACAGCAAAAATGACCAAACGCAAAAGGCAAGAAGAAGGAAGGCACAGTCTGATACGCACAGCTTTCGATTTCCAGGGTGCAGTTCTGCTCATCCAGGGGGTATCTCCTGAGGTCCATCATGCATGCCGCTGTGGTGGTGATCCTGAAACACATAGTGAGGGATGGCGTGAGAAGCTTGCTGAGGAACGGGAGGGAAACTGCTTCTAGAGAGACACAGGTCACATCCGCAGAAGCCCCCCCCCCCTTCCAAGGTCCACTGGCCAAAGCCCCACTCAAGGCACGCTGAGAATTCTGAATGAATAGGGAACTCACGGAGTACACTACATGAAGATGCTTTATCATCCTTAGCAAGCTTTATCAAGAAAGTGATGCTATGCTTAGCTTCACTTCCTTTAACTGGGTTAAATCGACAGATAAAATGTGTGCATATTAACGGTGTGGGGGACAATATTCAGAAACATGCATACATGACAGAATGAAAGTGAGAAGAACTACATCTATAATTCAAAACTAGGTATGTTTTTCTGACTCAGGTATTTATCGAGCCCACAGTTCCATCCCATTCCCTAAAACAGAGCCTGTAATGAGAGGTTTACATTTTACTACATGTTCTCTTATTCATCTCCCACATACAACCTGAGGGCAATGCACATGCATGCACACACATGGACACATGCCTACAAGGCTGGGGGCATTGGGCATAGCAGCCTCCCACTCATGGTGACACCATGGAGAGTCTAAGTGACAATTACGGGAACCGGACGGTAGGCCCTCCTCTCCAACAGCCATCTCTGCCACCTAGGATCTATTCAGACCTTCCCATTTGGGTGTAATAATGATCCGTTTTATCTGTCCACTTGAGACGTAATGTAAATAAGTTCACAGTTTTGCTTCATTTCGAAGAAATACTGAGGAAGCCCCATGAACGCAAAGAATAAGACCCAAGAGCCTGCATGCTGTAACAGGAAAGCCTCCAAGTGAGGGATCAGAGAAAGCACAGGCTGTGTTGGGCTGCAGGGGGAAGAAGAGTGGGAGCAAAGGACCGTGCCAGGGCAGGAAGAGAGAAGACGAGACTGTGCAGCATGCCAGAGCCTCTAGCTCAGCTCCCAGCCTCAGCAAGGAACCAGAGTGACCGAAGGAGACTGGCACCATTGATCCCTAGCGGAAAGAAGTGCAAGGTGGCTCAGGCCACAGGGCTGAGAGCTTAAGCCTCTTGAATGGAGCTCGCCCAGTTTGACAAACCCTCGTGACGCTATCAACCCCAGCCTTCCCGTCCTGTTAGGTAGCTTCTGTCTTTCTTTTCTTCTTTCCCTCTCCCCTTCCCTCTCTGTTTCTTTTCTCTCCCCTCTTCTCTTTTTTTTCCTTGTCCTGAGAGGAGAATGACTAACTTTCAACTCCCCTTCCACAGTTGACCGCAGTCTGAGAACTACGCTTTTTTCCTGAGGAAGAATGTTTTTATTTTAATTTAAATTTTAATAGTTTATTTTTTTAATTGTTTCAATAATCAACCAACTGAAATTGAGTATCACTGGGTGAGCGTGAGGGTTGGTGTGAACTGTCAACTCTACCAAAGTTAGGATCAGCCGAGAGATGGGCCTCTGAACATGCCTGCCAGGGATGCTCTTAACTGGGTTGCTTGAGGTGTGAAGCCCCACCCTGAAAGTGGGCTGAACTATTTCCTAGCTTGCACCTCGGATTGAACCAAATGTGTGTGTGTGTGTGTGTGTGTGTGTGTGTGAGAGAGAGAGAGAGAGAGAGAGAGAGAGAGAGAGAGAGAGAGAGAGAGAGAGAGGCAGGCCCTGGCATGCACATTCTTCAGACTGCAGATGCCACGAGACACTAGACACTGTGATGTCCCTTCCCTGCTGGAATGGCAACTGGAAGTCTGAGCTAAGAGAAACCCCTCCCAGGAACCTGCTTTTCTTCCTGTGTTTGTCATGGCATCAGGAATACACCAAGACAGTGACGGTCTCTGCAGTTCATTTTTAAAAGGTTTTTCTTTTTTGCTTTTTGCCTGAGACACAGAACTGACTGGAATCTTCCTGGCTTCTGGACATCCTTCACCCACCAACAGAAAAACAGAGGACCATGAACAAATAGTGATAAAGGTAATGGCCGGTGTTCTGGACAGACAGATACTAAACCCATCCCCATGCAGTTGGCAGTCTGCTGCTCCTGTTCTCTGTCTCTCTCTGTATAAAGAATGATACCCTATTTCTTCTTTTCTTCCCTTCGTTTCTCCCTTTCCTTCCTTCATTACCTTCATTCCCCCTTTCTTCCTTATCAGTGTTCTTTGGATTGTCTTCTTGCCCTAGGACATCAGTGCGCCCTAGCTGTGTTTAGGCCTGTGCCATGTACTTCAACATTCACCGTTTCACCAGCTGCTTAGTTAAGTCTGTTATTATTCTTCTTTGTTATTATCATTCCCATTTGCAGATGCGCAAACAAGGGTTACAAAGAGCAAGTTGCTCAACATGTTCCTCGAAAGCAGAGCGATCTCGGATGCAGGCAGTGTGTACTGAGCACCCTAGTGAATCTCTGATGCCTCTTTGCCTTGTATTAATTTCTTAGATTCTGCCCAAATACTGAAGAAGACAGATGTGAGCATTAATTGGGATGTTTCTGGCTGATTACTTTCTGATCTTGCCAACCTTCTCAAATACAACCAGAATTACAGAACTCTGTTCCCCTTTTGTCTCCTTACCTTGCCCTACGTCAATACAGTCATTGCATTAAGCTCCATTTGCAGAAGGGCAGGTTTGACTACTTGCTGCCTGGCTCCTTGTCTACTTTGGTTAGAGTCTATTAAGTCAGACCTTAGCCTGTCCTGCCCACAGCTATCTTTTGGTATCAGAGCAGCACCTCCCACACCAAGTGACCCACAAAAACTCAGAGAACAAAAAAAAATGGAGATTAAGGATGGAACTGTTGGCAAAGAAAGACATCCTGGCTCTTCTTGGTGTCAAGGTGATGGATACGAGTCAGCCGGGGATGGGTACCCACCGTCAGGCACTCTCGGGAAGAGCCCTGTACCCTTTTAGTTGCCAGGAGCTCAGTTTTCAAGAGTGGTTCATTGTTGAAGAGTCCCATGTGAGGCCCTGCTTCCAAGACCAGGCAGCCACTGTGAATATTGATGTCGCACAGTGAAACCATATGGAATCCAGTCTACTGCCAGCCATGAGCTGGACAGACTCCCCTCAACTGAAGACAACAGTGAAACACGCCTTTGGCTCGGAGTTTGACTTTGTCACAGTGACAGAACAAGCCGTGAATCAGCACAAGAGGTCCAGAACTCTACTGAGTGTCTCTCTCTGTGGCAGAGGCAGCACCACAGGCTAGTTGTTGATCTTCAGGTAGCCACTGCTCCCTATCCCTTGAAACTGCCTGCGTCATTGTTTACTCATCTGCAATCCAGACTGCCTGGAAGCTGAGTGCTTTGGCTAACGGAGGGAGTTGCCATTGTCTGTGGCCTAGGAGCTCAGGGGCTTAGACTGAGCACCTATCCATTCTTCTTACATTCTTCTTGGAGAGGTCACAGGGCATAAGCCGGTGATTCCATTAGGCAACCGTTTGTGGTGTTTTATGGAGTATCTAGGGAAATACATTTGCAGGAATGTCTACAGCTTCTTGCTATGGAGACTCCTTGAGGACACTGCTAGGAAAATCACCAAGACAAACTGAATCTATTGCAGCCCCGGCCTCATCCCCTAGAAGAACCTCACTATGTAGGCATTCTTTGTCTACCTCTCAACTATGGATCAACCCTGGAACTTGCTTTGTCTGGAGAGAAGTAGATGGAATAGCTTGGTAGTCACCAGAGGAACTGGTTTCTTTTCTATCTTCCTCTAACACAAGAGAGCTCTAACAGGGGAGTCTACTGGTCCAGGAGAATTGACAAGGGGGCAGGATTGAGGGGCACTATCTTCTCAGAGACCCCCTCAATGGGGTAGCTGGTGAGCACTCACACCCAGACTGTGGAAGGGCCAGCCAGGCCAGCAGACATACCTGTTGATCCCCCAGAAAAATGAGCGCTGCACCCCTACCATCCGCATTCAGGTCTCCAGTTGCTTGTTATTCCTCAGTGATGCTACAGATGGTAACTGAGCACTTCCCAAAGCAGAGGTGTCTGCGTCTGCACTGACTGAAGCGACAGAGGCAGCGCCTTTCGGCCCTGAGTCACTTCTGGAGCAGGGGCTATCTCAGCTTCTCTCCTATCCATTTGTAAACCCTCTGAGGGCAGAGCTACAGAAAGGATCAAAGCAGCATTGTGATGAAGATCAAAACGAAGAGCAGAGTGCCCGCAGTGCCCTGCCAGGAAAGTAGCTACCCAGAAATTCTTAAAGAAAATACCCCAAGACTCAGCTCTCTCTCGAGAAAGGGCAGAAGAGCTTCCGAGCATCTGAAAAGCAGCTTGCATCCCCCTCCTACTACCTCGATCTGATTAGGATGCCTGGAGGTGAGTCGAAAGCACACTCCCTCCACTATGCTGCCCTGACTATGGTGCTCCGGGGACTGCTTGTTCGTGTCTCCTGTGTCCTTGGATGCTTAGAAGCTCCTTGACATTTCAGCTGTCCAGCTTCTCTGTTTCATTTTTCCCTCTTGTGCTCTTGGTGTCATAACCAAACTTCAGTGCCATTTCCAATGTCACGCAGCCATTCCTCTCTCCTCCTAAGAGCTGTCTAATTTTAACTCTGAAGATTTGGGTCTATCGAGCTGGCTTCTGCGGTTCTAGAGTCCTTCGCTTCCTGAGTTCCAGGATTTCCCATCTTCATCTGTTGAGACTTCCCTCTATCCTGTGAAAATGTTGGGCTCCTCAGTCAATTCATCTCATGGAGTTGGAGAAACGTCTTGGCACTTAAGGGCACTCACTGGTTCTTGCAGAGGACCAAGTGTCCAATCCCCAGCACCTACAGCGTGGCTCACAGCTGTCTGTAACTCCAATTCCAGAGCATCCAACATCCACTGCGGCCCTCTGAAAACAGCGCGCACAAATGAGGAATAGAGAAACATGTAGGAAAAATGCCGCCTCAGATAACATAATAAAAAATAAATTTAAAATAGTTTCACATATGTCAAGATTTATTTCTGGGCTATCCATTCTATTTTACTGGACAGTGGGTCCACCCGTATGACAAGCGGTTT